AGTGCTGTCAGGCCTTAAAAATATAGTATACACAGTGGATTCAAAGCAAAATTAATATTAAGATGACTTCACTGGGGAGGGAATTGGAAACCACAGTGGTCTTCTGATTGTGCAGGGAAAACAACCCAAATCTTCACAAATCTTTGTAACACATACAAGGGCTCAGTTTTTTACTCCTCATTCAAGCAAAATCAACAGCAATATCAAGTGACACTGTTATCTATGGGAAAGCTGCCTAAGTAAAAAACATATAATTAAACATGCATTGAGGCAGACAAATCCTGCTCTGTGAACATGGAAGATGCAGGATTAATGGTTCTCAAATTTCATAACATTTAAGAAACGCACTCTGCCAAGTATTCATGAAGTATTTAAGTATGAATCTGAATACACTGAATAATGTTTTAACAACTCTGAAGAGCTCTGTTGAACATTTATATTTAAAAGAATGCACATGACCAATAATTAAGCTTCTACCTAGTATCTGAGTCATCTCTTTAACAGGAAACTAAGAAACACGGTTATCATAATTTATAGCCCACACAATGCTGGGAAATTGTTTTACTTGAATAGATGCTAGAAAAAAGCTGAGCATTTTTGGATTTGGCAGCATGGTCCTGATCTTCCCACAGATACAAGATTTTGCTGGTTTGTTTTGAAAATTGTTGCAGAACTTTAGATGAACTATTTATGCCTTGTACACTCACTCACACACCACACACCCCCCTTTTAATTGTATCACTTTAACACCTAAGACTGTGGCCAGTTGGCTCTATGCGGCTTTAAAGAACTCAACAATTCAGATTAGTTTTTGCATTATAGAAAATAAATCTTCCCTGGTGATCAGAAGACACATAAAGTGGAATTCAAAAAATCAAGATTCAGCATACCCCAGAAGCTGGACTACGTCTAAATCACTGGGCAGGGAATATCTCAGCTAGCTCTGCACCATGGCTGGGAACAGACTGTTTAGATTGCCATCTGAGTTTACACCTACCATGCAAAGATGTATGCCTAAATTTGCAGACATACTGGAAAACAGCTCTATAATATACTAAATTTACTGCAAATACTGTCCCTTCACTGCAGTGTCAAGTGTTGCACTTTAGAATTACCTAGAAGCAACTCGGTTTAAATATTCCACTGTTGATCAGGGGAAGCAAGAACGAAGAGGGGCAGTGATGATGAATGCGCTAGTCTGGTGGACCAAATAAGTGTGGTTCAGTGTGTGGGTTGTCCAAGATCACTGCCTGTGCATTCTCCTCCCATCCCAAAGTCCAAACCCAACAGAGAATGAAGCAAAAAGAAGGGAATTTTGCCCCCTTTGGGTCTCTGGGAGAAACACCTCATCCACTCCACCCCCTCAAAAAAAAAACCCACATAAATGAGGTAATGAGAAGCAATTCTCAACACAGTTCTTGTACCTCGTCTGCCTGAGGAATGTGGCTTTTACACCTGTTTGGAAGCAGCATGCAGATAGGCAGTTTTCCACATACCATAACATAAAAGATGAATGGGATATGCAAGAAACTTCACAGTGAAATCTAATGCTTTGCTTTGTACTTCCTCTTTTTAACTCCGAAGCAAACTATCCCCTGACTTCAAAGATAGCAAGCTCTGGCTCTTAACATGTTAATATTGGCAGGATTCCGAGATCTCTTCACATCCATTGGAATTCACGTAACCTTTTGTTCAGTGTTTTTTAAAAATGCCTTTATGGGGAAATGGAATACATTTATTCCACGGAATAAACTCACTCTTTGTAGTAAATTCATCCAGGAGGTACAATAGGCTTTAACATTTGTCTCTGAGGATCAACAATAAAACTTCATGTTTTGCCTCTATGAAATCCTAAAATCACCTGATTGAGCCTAATGAGCCCCTGAGACAACAGTGAGATTCCCCTCCCAGAGGTGGTGAAAAGAAAGCAGGCCTGCAGTCACAGAGAAGCCAAAAGCATCACTGCTGGGATGGTCTACTAAAAGTCTGGAGACAGGGAAGTTAATTTGGGATTAGATCCCCAAAGTTCCTGGCTGTAGTTCCATGCTCAGTCCTTACTGCCTTGAAAAGGGGATGACTTGCCAGTAACATGTAAAAATAACCCAAAGCTACAGGCAAAGATTTGTCCTTGGGCTTTTTTTTCTTAGAAGTTTATCCAGCTGTGACCTTGGTTAAACTCACAGTAGATGATAAGCTAATGTCAGTTCTCAGTGTGATGCCAAAGCCTAAAGGACTATGTCAACCTTGACTATGTGAGGAGAAGCAAGGTGATGTTACTTTTGAATCTGGCACAGATAGGATAGCTACTGGAAACCTGTGTCCAGTTCTTGTGCTTGCTGGGCAGGCAGGATGCTGATTAATGACCAGAAGATGCCTGTGATACCTGAATTATTTTGCTATGTCTGACATTCCCAGCCCCACTACAGCAGCTATTGCCACTGTGAGTTACCACCAGGACTAGAAAGAAACACCTCAACAACAGGGTTATCAAGTGGTGGCAGCTCAGTTTCTTCTTCTCTTGCTTCTGAGCTGAGAAGAGGGGAGGGAATGGGCAATGGGGGCAAGCCCCTAAGAAGCGCCGTTGCTGTGGCTGGGTCAGAGCCCTTGGGATAAGGAAATGAAGGAGCCCAGATTATTGTGTTTAAGGCAGAAGGAGGTAAAATCTGATGTCGGTCTGTCTACAAACAAAAACATGGTGAAGAAGATCCCTCTGATCCAGCAGAGGAGGATGCAGTAAGATAAAAAGCTGAAAGATAGAAATACAGGGCAGATGTTAGGTGTTTTAACAAAGTGTGTAGGTGTCACTTGATATACATCATGGAGGGCTGTGGAGAGTTGCTCCATCACTGGAAACTTCCAAATCCGGACTGGGTATCTTGGCAGCAGTTTGGTCACCAGTACTTGACCAGAAGAGGTGTTAATGTGGGCTTCTATTAGGGAGCAGTCAGACTGAAACATCACAAAGATCCCTCCTGATCTTAAGCCTGTTTTCACAGCGGATGTTTATTCTTTTCTCATCTGTTTCTGCCAATGGAGCAGCTGGGATACCCTCTGCCACCTGGTCCAGACCTTCTGAACAGAGCACTTCAAAACACCACCATCAGTCCCACATCCTGCACGGATGCTGGTGAATCAAACAGGTTCAGGCCCCGGTCCCATTTTTCCTGTGAATATTTTCTCCATAGTTGCGAACAAAAAATGGGCTCTTGCAGAAATCACAGTAGTGTACGCAAAGCTTATTTTTTCTCTCTTTTCTTTACGTCCTGTAAGAACAAGGTCAGCCCTCAGCACTACGCAGCTGTCCACAGCACCAACTCTTTCAGCCACACACCAAGATCTTCACCCCTTAAAAGCCTTGCTGTGGAGCTGAAGCATGACAACTGCTGCGCATCTAATATTAGTGATGTCTCCCACAGGGGAGCACAGGGGCAGACAGGAATCTAATAACTGTCCATGGGAGGGAAGGAGAAGAAATGATCAAATTTCAGAGATAGCAGGGAGCAGTTTATTAGCCAAACAATTGGTTATTAATCTCCGTGTGAAAACAGATGGAGAACCCTGGGGAGGCAGCTCTGCAAAAACACTCTGTAGAGGAATTTTTAGAAGTACAGTCTTCTGTTACTATGCAGGAAAGCTACTGCTGCTTACGCTTCCCATGACAGTATTAGTCTTTGACACACAAAACAGGAGCCTAAAAGCTTGGCCTTGCACCATTTAGGTCAAAGGAAGTTTTTTCCATTGGTTTTCAGGGCTTGATCCTGCTGCTAACAGAAGAGAAATTATCCAGTTTGCATGCAGACAGGAAGGAAGAGCCTTCCCACAAGCTAATAAAATCCTTGATCTTAAATCCCTGCTACAGCACAAATAACCTTTTTATGACTGCTCAGAGCAGACATGAGAGGAAAAAATGTAGACAGTAAGCAGTGAGGAGCATCAATTTTTATTTTTATAGTCACATAAAATGTACAACACATAAGAAGAACTGGCACTGTGTCTTCACTCACATCATGCAGGGGTTATCTGCAGAAACAAAAAACAACCTGTGCTTTAGAAGCCCTGTGAGTTACCCAGGATGGGGAAGAGATACGGAGAAATTTACCCCAGAGACACACCTTGAGAGAGAGCTCCCCAGCCACGGATCCTCCTTTGCCTGCTCCTTTTACTCCATAGCCTCCCCATCCCCAATCCCTTCTCCCCCCAACCCTGCCTCTGATTTTGTGCATGTGCATGTGTGTGTTTCTGAGGATGCATGTTACCCAAAGGATTATTTCCAATCCCTAGTATTTTTAAAGGGGTTATCTGCTGGCAGATTGTACACAAGAAAAAGATGGTATCAGATGCATCCAGGTGTTCAGGACAGATCTGTCTGTCACCAGTCAATCATGTTATGACAAAACGCACTGGTCTAATGCAGAACCTGCAGCCCCAGACCCTACAAAAACATGTGGCAAGACCTACGTAAGAAAGCACATTTAATTCAGACCTTATGCTGGGAGAGGGCCAAATGGTAGGGCTCCCTCAACAGCTTTGGATCTGTTTTAAATACCTACATGATTTCACATGATCTTTCACATACTCGTCCTCACCATACCGCACTGAAACAGAGGACAATGTCTGTCTCCATTTCATGGTGAAATAGCTCAAACTAGATTACACAGTTACTTGAATCTAGCAAATACTCAAGGCTTTGATGAATGACACGTTAGAAGGTGAGGCAAGAACAGCCCCTCTCTATCAGTACTAGCATCTGTGCAGCTTGTGGTGAGCTTGACAGGGGGATTTATCTCACTGAAAATAACCCTTTTGCATTTTAAAAGAAAATAAAATGTTATTTTCAGCCAGATGGATTCCCTCTTCAGGTTCACCATGCAGCTGCCCCTAGAGGAAAGAATGTCTAAGGAAGGGGAGAAAAACTACCCCCTCATGGCAGTGGCCCATTGGGAGGCTGCATTAAGTGTCTGTATAACAATAGCAAGAGGCACAAAGAGAAACATCCGCCTATGCCATCCCAGCAAGGTAGGAGAAAGCAAACAGCAAGGCTCATAGATCACACCCGTCTTTCCCTCCCTGCTTAACCCACAAGCTTCAAAACACTTTCATTTCTTGGAGAGAGAGACAAGAAAAATGACCATGCTCTGGGTGTGCATCCGAGCAGGAGCAGACCTCAAGCTGGACCGCTGAAAGCAGAGGATGGCACTGAGCACCAGAGCAGAGGGGATAATGCAGGAGGATGACTCATGCCACCGAAAACTTCATGGGTGTTTACTAATGGAGCCCCCCAGCCCCATGCCTTTCCCTCAGGAGCAGAGGATGCTAAAAGCTCAAGCTAAAAGCAAAGGGAGGAGTGGGCAAGTGACTTAATCCCTGCAGGCAAGCACCGACAGACCCAAGTTTGCCCAGTCCTTCTGATTTATCACTGGCACACAGCTCCTGCCTGTCAGCAGGTGGCATTACTGCCAGCGTGGCCCCACGCTAATGCTGCTGAGCAGCTTCTGGACCAATCCTGCTGGCACCATGAGCCAGACCTGCGTCGGCCAGCACAGGTTGACCACCACTGAAGCTGCAGCTGCAGCAAGACTAGACTTGCTTGGGTGTGGATTAAGGGCTCGCTGGCTCCTGGTGACATGCTGGGCAGCTCAGGCCCCTTGCTCTCCCTGCCATCCTTCTGTAAGACACCCAAACACTTGCTGACAGTATTCTACAGATACAGCCAAAACAACAAAAAAAAGTAGTGAAGAGAGGTGTTCCAAAGTATCACTAAATTGTTTCTGGATGACATTTTCAAAGGATTTTTTTAAAAGTCAAGGGCATTTTACAGAGTATCTGTTTCATGAATCAGTTCTTTTTATTTTCCTCTGCTGTTCCGTAACTTTTCCAAATGTCACAGAGTAATAACTGCTGTGTAGATCAGTATTACTGAAGGCTGGAAAACAGCATACAAGAATAGCTGAGCATTTTTATTTTATATTAAATGAAATGCCTAATCGATTTTCTTGCATACCAACTTTTTCAAAATCCCCAAACTGTACTGTTCTACCTTTTTTTTAGAGCAAAAGCCTGAAGTGCTGTCTCTCTGTTGTGTCTCCACTTCTTTATCCAGACTGCCAGAAGAAAGAAAAATTGAGACAAAGGACTCTAAAGCTTCCCACTGCCTCCACAGGGATGAGATCTGTTTCTTTACGTTTATTGTACTATGCTAAAAATGTCAATGAATGGCACATGCACATCAGCCTTTAAAGAGAACTAAGGCTTTAAAAGGAGAATGACTTGGAAATGGAGGTTGGTTTGAAATCCTCAAAGCAATCCAAGTGGTTTACATAAGAATCTTGAATAAACTTAACAGATGTCCCTAAACCTTGTAGGAAAAAAATCTCAACAATAAAGTGGAGACACGCTCTCTCTGTTTCCCCTGCTCTACCCCTCACTTCTGCATTTGCCAAAGCAGGCCATCCTGCACCTTGAAACAGCAGGTGCCCATTGTAATTCCTACCCCATCCATCAGGTCGCTGCTGGATTACAAGGTACCACAGGAACAGCTGAACCAAGTGGGTCCCACCAACTTGAGCCCAGCACCCTGCTTCCATAGCAGTGCCCTTAGGCTGGGATCAGGTGTAGCATCTGTTTTTATTGGTATAATACCTGATCCATCCTCAGTTTGAAGCCTTTATATTAAACAGGATTGGAAGATGTGCTAGGAGCTTGCACTACATCAAACCAGTGTAGTGCTTCCTCCAAGCATCCAAGCAGATGCCTATAAAAAAGTAACAATGGAACAAGCACGTAGTATATGAAAACAGAGTTTTAAGCCCCTCACCTCCCTTTCCAGAGTGCAGAGAAAACACCTTCTACATGCTGTATACCCACACATGCAAGTAAGAAACACTGGGAGTTGCTATGTCTGAAGACTGCAGAGCCATGAAGCACCAGTGGTGGGTGTGAAGCACTCGTGCTAACGCAAGACAGCACAGTCCTAGCTAGCTAGAGACCTGGCTGGCAGGTGGTTATTTCGGTGAAGGACTACAAGACCTCCATTTCCTTTCCTTAGGAAATCATGCAGTGCTCTTGTCAGGATGTTTTAATGCACGCTGGACTCTTGCCTGACCTTTACAAAAACTAAAACCTAGGACCTGTGTTAGCACCTCAGGCTTTTTTCCTTCCCTTCCTACTCAGAAGATCCCTGACCATCTCGGTCTCCTCTCCTTTCCTGCCCTGCTCTGTGCTGGCAAGATCAAGCACCTAAGAGCTTTACTCAGACAAAATGAGGAGAGACCACACAAAAATACCTGCAATTAGAGAGCAAGAAGTTGCAGCCATGCAGCCCAATGGAGAATACAGTCAATTGTAAATCCAGCCTGGAAAGGATTATCTGAAAAATACTGACACCAAACTACATCCTGTGGTTTTTATTCGGGCAAGATATTTGGGGGCTTCAGATCAGAGCTTTCTCTGAGTTATACCCAGCTATGGCCCAGAGGTTGCTGAAGAGCCAAACTGCACAGAGAAATGGAAGATTCCCCTGAGGGTGATTCAGGATTGCTTAATGCATTGCACAGTAAATATAATCTAAGATAT